GAGTTTGTCAAGTTAGAAAAGACAAGGAGATGGAAGGTGTGGGGACAGGAAACAATTTTCAGCTTTTCAGAGTATAGCTTTGGCAGTGTAAGGGAGTATTTAATGGTAATTGATGCTTTCTGGGGAGATGGCTTTTCCAGCAAACTCAGAGTGTCAGCCTGGGGAGGCTCCCTGCTCCTACAGGATGGCAGGAACAGGGACTTGGTTCCAGCACTGGACTGCTTGCTTATGAAAATTCCAGCTTTAGGAACACATAGTTGACTGGGAATATTCTGTTTAAATAAACCTTTCTTCATAACATCTGTATTACCATATCCCAATCAGTAATGTGACACCTGAGTAATTTAAAACAGTTCCATTAATCTATGTGCCTTTATCTCCAACCCAAACCTGTGCACACTGAGCCACTAATTAAAAAACAAATATCTGCAGGATGTGTATGGCAGAGGTGAGCATCCCCTAAGCTATCTCTACTCTCCTTCTCCAAGCAGCAGCGCTGTGCCCTCGGGGAGTGGGGAGAAGGGAGACTGGAGGAACCACAGTGCTGGGAGGAGCAGAGCCCAGGCCCTACAGTACAGTGCTGCAGCTCTCACACTGCCGCCATCTCACCCTCAGCCCTTCTCTGTGTGGAGGCAAGGCAGAGGGGCTGCCACTATCAGCCCAGGCCTTGCCTCCAGCTGTAGAGAATGAGGTCCAGGCTCCTCCAGCAGGCCTCCACCCTGGGCTGGCCCCTGCCCCCAGGTTGTAGAGAGTGAGTTCCAGGCTCCTCCAGCAGGCCTCCACCCTGGGCTGCCATATTGCAGCTTCCCCCCAAGGAGAGCGCCTGCCCTGGGCCATAGTGGCCCCACCTCACCCCAGATGCTGAGCCTCCCTAGCAGGCAAGAGGAGCACAAATCCTGTATGTTTATACACACATGTACACAGCCTGGTCAGCCTCTCTGGGCTGCTGTAAGAGCTGCATGTGCAGAGCCTGTCCGTCAGTCACCGTGCAGGGTGATGTGGGCATACACGCAGGACACACGGCACTGCTCATTCTAGGGATGCATTTTCTTTGCTGCTCCATCTTTGTTGCACAGTGGCAGTGGTGTTTCTGTGTTAGCAGCCACAGTGTTAGTGCTGGGGTGCTGTTTCTGTGGTTTTAAACCCTTCCTGCCCTAAAGGCTTGGCCCCTGTCAGGTGTGGCCTGTGGCAGCACAATGCCCATCAGCAGCAGCAATGGGGCAAGAGGGATTTGCTCAATAATTACTATTGAGGTAAGAATGAAATATCACAATAAATAAATCATGATGAGAGCTCACATGCCCCAAGAAAGCCATGTCTCCACAGGGTAGGCTCACCTAGGTGTCCCTCTCTCCCTGCTGGCAGCTCATGTTTGGGACAGGCCCAAAATACCAGGACAGCAACTGGTTGCCCCAGCCTTTTTGTGAGGAATTTGGGGGGAACTCTCCCACCAGGGTCCCAGCCCTGTCCTGAGGGCAGGCCCCTGCCTTGGCTGTGCTCCAGGAGGCCCAGGCCTGCACCCAGGTGTGGGCAATTCACACTCCCGGCAGCCCTTCCCCTCCCACCTGGGCAGGTAGTGCTCGGTGGAAGGGATGTGGTCACCTGTCCAGAGAGGCTGCAGTAAATGGTAATCCTCTTCTTGCAAACAATCACAATTTCGTAACAGGGGCCTGCTTTTTTAACAGCACTGTGTTAGCATGGAAGTTTCTGGGAGCGCTGGGACAATTCATCTTGAGCTGTAAGGTTTGACTCTCCTCTGCGTGTTGCCTTTTGCCTCTCCTGAGCTTTGGAGGAGGGTGAGAGGGATCTTAGTCTAGCCTCAAATCTCACCCTTTGGTATTTTTGACTGACCAGTGGAAAACATTAAATGAGGTTAGGCAGGCAGACTCACAGACTGTGCAGGCTCAGTTTTCTGTTGACAATTTATAGCAAGGTAGAAGTAAGTTAGAGGTGCTCTTAAAAATGAAATATCTTTTGGAACACCTAAACTCTCCTCATTTCCCCAGTTATTTTCTGTTGAAAGATTGGGGAGGGTTGTGTAGAATATTGAATACATTCTTAGCTTTTAAAATGTAGCTTACACTGATGCCAAAATGTTGTTTCTTGCTGACTTTTAGTAATATGTTTTTCTTCAGAAGCTAAAAGACTCCGGAGAATAAAGAAACCCTGAAGTATTAATACTTGTTTCTATGTTTGGCTAATGTTAACCTTTTGTGCTTTCCTACAAATGCTGATTGAGAGTTGTATCTACTACTGCTACTTTGAGGTAAGGTATTATGCCCCTATGCTCCTTTATTTATTTTTTTAATAACGTATTTTCTGTGCCTTCTGTGGAATAACTGGAGCAAATTCTTTCCTGTTCATGTGCAGACCTCTGTTCACATAAGTATGCCCGTTTTGGTGGTACTTTTTCACCGTACAAATCAAAAAAAATGCTGGTCAGAATCCATGATGGTTAGGTTACTATATTCAGAGAGATTATCTAGAAAAATGTTTGGCTTTTTTTTTTTTTCCATAGTTCTATTGCTGTTAGGATTACAAACACAGACTGGAAAAAAATTTTTTTTTGTAGTGTAATATATTTAACCTCAGGTAATATCTATAGCTATACATTTATGTGTTTTCTTGAAGGACTTATTCATCATGTGCTGTATGAAAACTTCTGGGTAATAATGCCAATACATGATTTAAACCATTATAAGTTTCTGGTTTTTAATTAAAAAATTAAGATCAGTCTTAAATTGACTGTCTTATAATCCCAGCTTTGTTGATGGTTTGGTTTTGCAGCATAATTTGCAGTGTTACTACTGCTGGTGAATTATCATTAGTTATAATTGGAGTGTGTTGAGTTTCTAATGCAAGTTTGCTGAGAAGCAAGGAAAGGGAATGTTTCAGAACATCACACTAATTCTGAATTTCCTTTACATATTCAGTATACAGTATCTTTATACTACTTCTGTGCTATGTAAGTTTCTGGCAGATTTTATTGGGAGAAGAGCCTTTAAAGTGGAGTGGAAGCTACAAGAAGTCCAGCTGTAATCAAGGGTTAGATCATTGTTAGTTCTAGTCAGCAAAAATATCCATCAAGGTAGTATACCTCAAACTCTACCTTTAGTAATTCTTACTGTGTATCTTCAGATGGACTGATATTACCCGAGCTTTCAAAAGCCTTTTGCAAGTATATAAATGCTGTAAAAGGTAAATTACTGCAACAAATTAGAAACTAAGTGGGATAGGAGAAACAAAAGCAGAAATTGAATCAAAAAGAAAAAGCATGGACTTAGCTTGGTCCTGCAGGTTTTGATATACTAGCCCTTTCTAGTATTTTTATGAATGCTGAATGCTAAAAATAGATGAATCACTTCATTAGGTAAGTGAAAAAAAAAACAACAACAAAAACCCCCCAACAAAACACTGAGTGTACAAGCTCATCTGATACACTTAAAACACTTCTTGTAGACAAGGTGCCTGAGCCATAGACTCCTGAGGACAGGACATACATCAGAATAGTAAGTGACCAAGAAGCATTTAACAATGACGACAGCCCAGATTCGTTAAGGTATTTAGCAACTCCTGAACAAAGAAGTGTGAATGTTTTTAAAGTGTGAATCGTACTCTTCTTTAATTAAGAATTATTAAGGCTGAGGAAAGCAAGTGAAACCTCTGGTAGGAAAAGAATAACAAAAATAAGAGGTAAACCAATAGGATGCATTTCCTTGGAATGATGTATTGTTTTACGCAGTCTCTGATGCAAGTGAAGTTGCTAGTAAAGAAGCTCAGAGGTGTGAGGAAAACATAGTCTTTCACAGAAAATGAACCTACTAGATTAGACGGTTTAGAGATGATAAATCATAAATGGAACTCTATCTAATTGCTTCTTGGCTGGTGTAGAATCAAGACATTGGCAATTTGGCATTCTTACACCTTTTCTTTCCATTTCAGTTACTTCAAATCTAAATTTTAAAAGTGGAAGGGAGCACATGTCTAGAAGTTCAGGAAATGTATTTATGAAGTATTGATGCTTATACTTCTAAACCAAAAACAGAGGAGAAGCAGCAACTGACTGAAACTGTTGCACAAGCTTCCAGAATAGTTAGCAACTGACAGTGTCTAAATTAATTATTACATCTATAGGGCAAAATAGAGCAATGCTTCACTGTATCCTTTTTCTTAGTAGCACTTGAATACTGCTATTTTTCTTGTTTGTTTTAGCTTGTTTCATGCCAGATGTTTTTACCAGGGAAAACAATGGTGTGTGTTTTAATATTGATGAATTGATTCTCCTGGGAATAATAGGGTATCTACCTTCTCAGAATACAAATTGTGAGAGGTTTTTTATAGTGTAATTACCATAATGCATTGAATTTCAAGTGTAACTCTTTAAAACTGTGGGAAGAACTTTTCATTTATTATCTTTCTTCTATTTACTTTCAGAGTGACTCTCCTCTTAAAATTATATATTGTGGTTTGGTGGCCTTTCAAAAGTAAACACATAAATCACCAGAGGTACCATGTAATTTGCCAGAGTAGCATATGCTTAAGCACCTTATAAACTATTAAATAGTAATAATATTTCTCTTTCTAAGGATATTACTTTTTTCATTTAAATAACTGCAGAACAATTGCAGGGTAATTAAGGAACCTTTCTTTAACTTTTTTTTTTTCCTCCAGGAACTCGAACACTGAAGTCCCGAAATTCTAAATGATTTGGTGACAGGCCGAGTTTGCAATGCAGGCGATAAAAACGGTGGAAAAAGAAGTGACTTTCCTAAAAGAAAGACTTTACACAGAATCCTTCCTAACGAACCAAGAGCGCAGCAGAAGAGCTGAGAGCTGCAGGCGGCTCCGT